AACAAGAATATCAATATCACTGACACCAACACGGTTTCTTTTATCACATATATATATTTTGAATATTGTGTGCGTCTGTGCGTTGCTTTTGATAGATACAAACGCTCTGACTACAGTCAGCTCTACTCTGACACTAAGACTCTAATACACTCACTGTTTCCTGACAGTGTCATACACATTGTTTCCTGTTAATTAAATTATGCTATTGTGCATTGTTCATCAATGGTTCATTGTATGCTTCATGTGATCATCACGTGCAATACTCGTGCATATAATTCTAGTGTATTATTTCCGTGTATAACAATACTCTTTTACCGTTTTTTTTTCATATCTTGCTTACTTCTACAAATGTTTTGATCGAGAGGAATGAAATGTCCACCATCTTCCATTTTTGTAGATATGCATGTCACGTCACAACAGGGGTCACGCAATATTTTTATCTGGACAACCACTAATCAGTTTGCACTCAAAATTATACTCTGTCTGCCCTTCGAAATATCAAGATCACTCAAAACCTTTAAAACATCTAGGAATCAATATTTGGTCAGCAACGAATACTTTTATATGGTTAATCTCTGTTGTGACGTCACCAAACCTACCGTTAATGAGATCAAAAATGTATCCAAGATGGCGGACATCTCATTACTTCAAGTGAAAAATTAAAATATTTCAAGAACTAAGAAAGATACGAAAAATCGGTAAAAGAACTTTATATATATATATATATATATATATATATATATATATATATATATATATATATATATATATATATATATATATATACAACCTCGTTCCCAGGGCTTCAGTATATATATATATATATATATATACAACCTCGTTCCCAGGGCTTCAGTGTGAGGACGAGACGAAACACGAGGAAGCCCTGATCCGGGCCGGTCACTTTTGCATTCTGATTGGCTAACACCATATTGTCTAAAAATAACTGAACTTGACGGTTGACAATAGCAAATTACAATACAATTCAACATTTGTATTTTTATGATTCTTGTGTGTACGAGTATGCTTTGCAAAATAATCTTTCAAAGTCAAAGACGTTTTCCCGACTGCACGATTTACTTTCGCCTCGGTCGGTTACAAAACTCAAAAGCCGTGTCGAAGTGAGCTGTGATGTTTCCTGACAAAACAAGAAATGTCTACTATTATTTAAGTTTTCCTTGTACAGTATTTATTAGTGCAGATGTCTGATGAAATACTACGCGTATTGCATTGTAGTAATATTTTAATTTACAATATTCTGTACTGACAAATAAAAGCAAGACAAACAATTAAATGAAACTACTAAATTAATTTAGGCCCTGTTTACTTAATAGCTCTACGCCTAGGCCGATGTAGTCTCTACAAGATTCGCACGCCACCCAGTTTTACAGTTTCAGAATACCCCGAATACTTGAAAATTGCGACTATACGATAAAATAAAACAAAGATTGTGAAGGGGATAAAATTTGTAGGCAAGCATTGCTCCTGAACGGCAAGTGTTGGTGTCCAGCGAAACAAGCGAATCCGTATACAATATTCTGTACTTGGATGCAGTTTGCCTGTAGTTGAAAATCTCCAGAAATATTGGTATATCTTCGAAAACATAGACGGGATCTTCATAGATTTTAGCTGATTCGTCCCAAACTTCGCTCTACACATAAATAATATCGATTGAGAAGTCTTTTGGCTATTTATTTGTTTCGAAGACTTGAATATTTCATTAAAGAATATCTCGCCACTCCTTGACGAGTAGCTGTCAAATACTGCCATTTTTTGACGTCACGTGACCGGCCCAGACCAGGGCTTCCTCGTGTCTCGCCTCGTCCTCACACTGAAGCCCTGGGAACGAGGTTGAAGGTAATGAATGTAAACTGGTCATACATTTCGCCGAACATATAAACTTCGGCCCCTTTGGACATATCTTTTGCGTAATAGTATTATTGGAATCAGAATCCAAAACACTATTTATAGTGTTATTTTCAAGCTTGTGTCTTCAGATTTTCGTCTTTTATTTCGGTATTTACAGAATATTTATATTTTTAGCGCGGCCCATGAAACGTACATCAAAACCATGCGCTGTTTAATAATATCGTAGGGGTCTGAAAAACCGGAAATCGATTCTGTAGGTCAAAGTACTCCCAGTGGCAAGGTTTGCACGTGTATCGATTGGGCTATAAAATATGGCCTATAAAATATGGCCAAGCATCAACGTGGCGCGTGCGTGCGTGTAAAAACTCGATATTTTGAAAAATTCAAAATATATATTTCTACTCTGTGCCGTATTCAAACGAAACTTTGTACATGAAAGCTAAAACGAAAAGCATCAATGTAATCTTGCGAGGGGGGGTCAAATGTCGTCAAAAGATTACACAAACCAAAACAATCATATATTTACTCACCGCTTGGCCAAACATTCTGTATTTCATATCGAGAAAAAAAACTTGAATATCTTCTAAACTCTTCAGAATTTATTCAGAGTCAATGTGAATAAAATGCGTCCTGTATTCAAGCGAGGGGGGTAAATGCTCGCTGAGATATTTACAATTAGAAACAATAAAATCGTAAAAATGTGAAATTTTGAATTGGGGCGTGACGTGAAATTAACCAATTTACAGGCAGTACTTTACTGGCAGTGCAATTGTCTATACAGTAAATACCAAAGTAGATAGGTAGTAAATACTAAAGTAGGGTGCATTGCCAGCTAATGAGTTAATAAAAGACATTGGCAGATGTGTTTGTTAAACCATTTACTGACAGTACTCTACCACTGACAAGTAAAATCGTCTGGCGGTACACGGTGTAAATTTGTCTGGCGTTAGTCAGACTATTACTGAAAGTAGTGTGCATTGCCAGCTAATAGGCTAGTAGACCTTAATATCCACTTTTGACCCAATGGCCTCATTTTCATGTTGGTTATTTACTCGTATTCCATGCACAAAATAAGGTGGTCTTATACATTGAAAAATTTTTTCCTAATTTAATAATTTTTCCTCATTTTTTACTCAAATATTATAGAATATGGGTGGCTGACTCAAAATCACTCACTTATACATCTGTTGTTGCCATGGTAACCAAGATAGGACCCCCTATAGGGTCAAATACGGCGTTTGCGCCAAAAATGATAGGAGTCAAAGTAAACTACCCATGATCTCCCAAACAGCTTTAATTGATACAAAATAGACCTATCTATGATGTTAATCTAAACTAATACTTAGCTAGAGGCATAAAGTGTATGAATTTTACCCTTCTTTATAGATGAATGAAAATATGGGGGTGCGGAGTTCAGTAATTGGGTTACCCTGTGGTGAGTATAACTCACACATGGTATTTTTTAGGTTCACATTACAGATTTATTAGTAATGAGTAAATGCTGAAAATTTCATCTTGATTGGGTAAATAGCAAACCCAGGAGAGTTTTTGCCATCTCGTGAGTTGACAATTTGAGAAAATTAAGTTTAAAATATTTGCAGATATGTTCTCGACAAACAAACCTAATTTAAAGGCTAAAATAGGCATCTGGAAAGTTTAAAATGAGTCAACTGCATGCATGTTTTCAATTACACTAAAGCTCTTGCTGTCTCCATCACCAAACAGTTCATCACATTGACGTACAGGCTATGTGAACTTACTGAGTGCTTAAATATGCGCTTTGCGCCTTCCGGCTCAATAGCTGGTGCTGATCCACTATAGTTTGTTTTACACTTTAAGGCATGTTCTGCTATCAATTCTTCAATATTAATCTCTAAGTCATATTTGCCTGAAACTTCATACAGCTGTGACACACTTTACTGAAGCCTGGTTTCCATTAAATCGTAATTATCGCAAGAATCGCATCGCAAGCGTCGCAACGATTTTAAAAACGCGAAAATTTTAATAAAAACTGCGATTTATTGAAAACCTGTGTCACACCGATAACTAAGACTCTTACGACAAAGTCGCAAAGATAGAATTACTGCGATTTTTGCAATAGCGATGTCTGCGTTCCGCGACTATTGCGATGATTACGATTTAATGGAAACCAGGCTTGAGAGGCTCTACATCTAAAATTTTAGCAGTTTCCATGGAGATTACCGGAAACACAACCATGTAACGAAGAGAATCCCCTTCTTTGCCAGGTACCATCACATGATATAGCAGTTTTAAAAACTCCATTCTCACCATATGATTACTTTTCAAATTGTGGAGCTTGCCAACAGCTTGTTTCATGGTTGATTCAGCGACATCTTTGGTAGCATGCAAGACGGCTTTTGTGTGGTAAATATAAGCCCTCGGGCTTATGGGTTCGGCATGTCCATTGTTGAGCAGAATCTTTGCATCCCAGATAAGCCACAACCAATACACCTCATTCCATATATCATTCTCCTGTTTACTTCAAAACAATGACCAAGTTTTTTTGAAGTATAGAACTCTTCAGAGTGTCCTCACAAGCTACAGTTAAGAAAAAGACACGAAGCACAACCCATCCACTTGGTATCATCTTCAACCAGTTCTCACTGGCACTCCAAAGATACCCTGCATGGCATGGATTTAACGATATTCCCCAAAATATCAACATCAACAATTCTATAACCAATCGATTGAAAGAGCACTTGCTTTATCAGGTAAACCAGTTTCTCCAGCCGAAGCCGAAATGTCTGACATAGGCTACATGTGGTTGCGACTTGGTCTTCTGATCTTGATTCAGACACATTTTCATCGCTCGTACCGGCGTACATCGCTCGTTTTCAAACTTTTGAGTTTACAGTGAACCGATTTCCACTAAATTTACGATTCTTTAAATAACCAGAACGTTGCTTAGGTATTTTCAAAGAAGTAAACCACTATTAGAAACCAAAAAAATCATTGAAACTTTCAACACAAGATGGCGTTGTGAGAAAAACTTTCCATTTGAAACATCGAGACAAAATAGACATTGTACTTCAAGATATGTTATACTGGCTTCAAATACAAGAGTAATATGGGAGGGGTAAGCAAGTACAAATGTAGACTATTTTGGTCAGCAATAACGAGCCAATAACATCGATTTAACCACAGTATTTGGTTGCTAAGGTGCTTGCTATGGGCCAATTTCAATATTAGGCAACTTTGATTAAAAAATATGCCCCTAAGGAACTCAGATACGACAAAAATATAATGTTAGCATTAAAGTGCATATGATGGAGCCCCCAAATTTATATATTTCAAAAAAGTGAATTTTTTGAAAATACAATGTATAAGGGAAAGTACATTTATTACGCCGAGGGAGGGGGGGATGAAGATGTCTTGAAAAAAGCTCATATTTTTACAGGGCCCCTGTTGAAGTTATTGGTAAATTTTCGATGCCCCCTCCAAGTTTTAAAATTTTCAATGCC